TTACATCAAAGGTTTTCAAAGTGTGATATGAGGATCCCTGGGGCTCTGGAGACCCTTTTGGGAGGTCATCAGGTCCTCAATTTCCCAATAAAGGAGAGGATGTATTTTTGTCATATGTTTCAATTAAAAACCCATAGTGCCACAGGCTGAATGCAGAAACAGATATGAGCATCATCTTGTCTTCCATCCAGCCAACATTGGACAAATTTGCTAAAATGCAGAACAAAGCCACACTTCTCACTAAACGAGTTTTTAAAAATCCAGCTACTTTCCTAAAGTATTTCTTATATTAGCATGAGTTGATTGTTCCTTTAGGTTGAATCAATGGTTGATTATTGTTCTTTTTAATGTGTTAATAATGTGTGCTTATATCTGCTTGACTTATTTCATTCAGCATAATCTGCTCCAGTCCCATCCATGTTGATGCAAAAGTTGGGTATTCATCCTTTCTGATGACTGAATAATATTTTATTGTATATATGGACCACATCTTTTTTTTTTTTTTAATTTTTTTAAATTTTTATTTTTTTTTAATTTCTTTTTAGTGTTCCAGAATTCATTATTTATTCATTTAATAGTCTCAAAGAATCTCAATTTTCATTACTAATATGGTATGAATGGAGAGTTATAACTCCCTTGAACAAAAACTCTTTAGGGGACTCAATAGGTTTCTAGTGTAAAGAAATCATGAGACCAAAATGTATGAGCACTCTCTCATTACAGTTTTTCTCACTATCGGTAATGTTATTTTATGTTTCCCTTAAATTCTATCTTAAACGTTGACTATTACAAGTGTAATTCTATGGGGGATACTGTGAGTTTGGGAAGTTGATCTAGTCTTCTGCAACTTGTGTTCTTTCTGTCTTTGCTCAAATATGTCCCACCTTCATTCTTTTACGTTTCTAGGTAGATGATCACATCTCTTCCCTTCTGATCCTGATATTCCTTCTTTTGATATCTTTCCTGAAGCACCTCTCCTGGCTTTCTCTTCCCTGCTAATGAGCAGCAGAGACAGTGAGTAACTTGGCTTGTTCCTGATCCTAAAACAAGGCACTCCTAGCTTCCCACTTCATGTACTATTTGTTAATTTTGCAGTGTTTATTCTTAGTTAACTAAGAAAGTTTTAGTTGATTTCATGTTGAGAAGAAGCTTTTTAAGAATCTTTAAGATTCTTAGAAGGTCTTCTCACTGTCTGTCTCTATGACCACCTTATAGTAATATTTAACCCTTAGTGAATACTTAAAATTTGTTAGGCACCTATTAAAATCCTTATGTGATTTAACTCATTGGATCTTCCCAACAACCCCACGAAGTACATAAAACCTTCCTTTTGAGATAAAGAAAATGAAACTAAACATTTTATTTGTAGCTCTGGAGCTGTAAGTAGGAGAACCAGTAGGAACGCCAGGACTTGTAGTCCCACTCCCTAGCCTGAGCACTATTAATATTAACCATAATATTCACAGAATACAATCACTTCACATTGCCTAGCTTCCCCCATGTACCCTGCCTGCATTGTCTTCAGTTACTGGCACTCCTCTTCTTCCCATCACTTTCTATCTGATATACACCTAGGTCCTCATCTAAGAATGACCACTTGTCCCAGGTTTCCCTGACTTTTCTGGGCTGCTTCTTTCTACCTACTATGTGTACATTGTATACTCACTGTTGGTATTAAGGCACATATCACATTTTTATTAACTATTATTAATTTGTATTCATTGCAGTGGAGCACCTTTGAATTCCTCTTTGTACCTCATAGCCTAGTACAGAATAATATTCAATAAATATTGCTAAGATGTTTGAGGGTTGAAAAAAATTTTTGAGATGTGTGCTTATATCTGCTTGACTTATTTCTTTTTTTTTTATTTCTTTTCAGTGTAACAGTATTCATTGTTTTTGCACCACACCCAGTGCTCCATGCAATCTGTGCCCTAATACCCACCACCTGGTCCCCCCAACCTCCCACCCCCCGCCCCTTCAAAACCCTCAGATTGTTTTTCAGAGTCCATAGTCTCTCATGGTTCACCTCCCCTTCCAATTTCCCTCAACTCCCTTCTCCTCTCTAACTCCCCTTGTCCTCCATGCTATTTGTTATGCTCCACAAATAACTGAAACCATATGATAATTGACTCTCTCTGCTTGACTTATTTCATTCAGCATAATCTCCTCCAGTCCCATCCATGTTGATGCAAAAGTTGGGTATTCATCCTTTCTGATGACTGAATAATATTCCATTGTATATATGGACCACATCTTCTTTTTGTTTATTTTTTAAAATTTTTATTTATTTTTTTAATTTCTTTTCAGTGTTCCAGATTCATTATTTATGCACCACACCAAGGGCTCCATGTAATACGTGCCCTCCATAATACCCACCACCAGGCTCACCCAACCTCCCACTCCCCACCCCTCCAAAACCCTCAGATTGTTTTTCAGAGTCCACAGTTTCTCATGATTCATCTCCCCCTCCAATTTCCCCCAACTCCCTTCTCCTCTCCATCTCCCCATGTCCTCTGTGTTATTCCGTATGCTCCACGAATAAGTGAAACCATATGATAATTGACTCTCTGCTTGACTTGTTTCACTCAGCATAATCCCTTCCAGTTCTGTCCATGTTGATACAAAAGTTGGGTATTCATCCTTTCTGACGGAGGAGCAATACTCCATAGTATATATGGACCACATCTTCCTTATCCATTCACCCGTCGAAGGGCATCTTGGTTCCTTCCACAGTTTGGCGATTGTGGCCATTGCTGCTATGTACATTGGGATACAGATGGCCCTTCTTTTCACTACCTCTGTATCTTTGGGGTAAATACCCAGTAGTGCAATTGCAGGGTCATAGGGAATCTCTATTTTTAATTTCTTAAGGAATCTCCACACTGTTTTCCAAAATGGCTGCACCAGCTTGCATCCCCACCAAAAGTGTAAGAGGGATCCCCTTTCTTCACATCCTTTCCAACACTTGTTGTTTACTGTCTTGTTAATTTGGGGCATTCTAACTGGTGTAAGGTGGAATCTCAATGTGGCTTTGATTTGAATCTCCCTGATGGCTAGTGATGATGTACATTTTTTCATGTGTCTTTTAGCCATTTGTATGTCTTCATTGGAGAAGTGTCTGTTCATGACTTCTGCCCATTTTTTGAAATGATTATCTGTTTTGTGTGTGTTGAGTTTGAGGACCACATCTTCTTTATCCATTCGTCTGTTTAAGGGCATCTCAGCTCTTCCCGCAGTTTGGCTATTGTCGGATGTACAGTTTCACTTACCTGTGGAACATAAGGAATAGCATGAAGAACATTAGGAGAAGGAAAGGAAAAGTGAATTGGGGGAAATACCATCAACATTTTTCACAGAGCTGGAACAAATAATTCTAAAATTTGTATGGAAACAGAAAAGACCCTGAGTTACCAGGGGAATGTTGAAAAAGAAAACCAAAGCTGGGGACACCACAATGCCTGACTTCAAGGTATATTGCAAAGCTGTGATCATCAAGACAGCATAGTACTAGCACAAAAACAGACACATAGAATAATGGAACAGAATAAATAACCCAGAAATGGACCCTCAACTCTATGGTCAACTAATCTGTAACAAATCAGGCAAGAACATACAATGGGAGAAAAATGGAAAAAAGAGAATATACAATGGAAAAAAGGCACTCTCTTCAATAAATGGTGCTGGGAAAATTAGACAGTCACATGCAGAAAGATGAAACTGGACCTTGCTCTTATACCATACCCAAGATAAACTCAAAATGGATGAAAGATTTAAATGGGACACAAGAATCCATCAAAATCCTAGAATAGAACATAGGCAGTAACCTCTTCAACATTGGTCACTGTGACTTCTTTCAAGACATGTCTCTAAAGGAAAGAGAAAGAAAAGTAAAAATGAACTTTTGGGACTTCATCAAGATACAAAGCTTCTGCACAACAAAGGAAACAGTCAACAAAACTAAGAAACAACCCATGGAATGGGAGAAGATATTTGCAAATGACAGTATACATAAAAGGCTGTATCCAAGATCTCTTAAGGAACTTCTCATACTCAACACTCAGAAAACAAATAATCCAGTCAAGAAATGGGCAGAAGACATGAACAGATAATTCTCCAAAGAAGACATCCAAATGGCCAACAGACACATGAAAAAATGTTCCACACCTCTTACCATCAAGGAAATACAAATCAAAACTACCATGAGATACCACCATACATCAGTCAGAATAGCTAAAATTACATCTGTATCTTTGGGGTAAATACCCAGTAATAAGAAGGGCCATATGTACCCCAATGTTCATAGCAGCAATGTCCACAATAGCCAAAATGTGGAAAGAGCCAAGATGCCCTTGAATAGACGAGTGGATAAAGAAGATATGATCTATATATACAATGGAATATCATGCAGCCATCAGAAAGGATGATTATCCAACTTTTGCATCAATATGGATGGGACTGGAGGAGATTATGCTGAGTGAAATAAGTCAAGCAGAGAAAGTCAATTATCATATGGTTTCACTTACTTGTGGAGCATAAGGAATAACATGGAGGACATTAGGAGAAGGAAAGGAAAAGTGAATCGGGGTATATAAGAGGGGGAGAAGAAGCATGAGAGACTATGGACTCTGAGAAACAAACTGAGGGTTTTGGAGGGGAGGGAAGGAGGAGATGGGTGAGCCTGGTGGTGGGTAATAAGGAGGGTACGTGTTGCATGGACTACTGGGTGTGGTGCATAAACAATGAATCTTGGAACACTGAAAAAATAAAATAAAATTTTTAAAAAAATCAATTTTTAAAGTCACAAATAGGAATTGAACTTTAGTAGTCCAGGATTGCTGCCTAGATTGAAATAATTATGATTTTTTTTTTAGTTTATTCATGTGAACGGCCACATGATAGGTTTTCTGATGCTGAACCATGCTTGTCCTTCATAGGATAAACCATGAGCCTTCATATCCTTTCTGGTCTCAGCAGATGCAGCATCTGAGGCGGGTCAGAACTATAGCATGGTTTCTGAATTCATCCTCCTAGGCTTCTCCACCTTCCCACCACATCTCCTGCCTGCCTTCTTCCTGCTGTACCTGCTGATGTACCTGTTCACCCTGATGGGGAACCTGATCATCATGGCCACTGTCTGGAATGAGCACAGCCTGCACACACCCATGTACCTTTTCTTGTGCACCTTGTCTACCTCTGAGATTCTGTTAACTGTTACCCTCACCCCTCGCATGCTGGTAGACATGCTCTCAACCCGCCACACCATTGCCTTTGTGGCCTGTGCCAGCCAGATGTTCTTCTCCTTTACATTCGGATTCACCCACTCCTTCCTGCTCACAGTCATGGGCTATGACCGTTACGTGGCCATCAGCCACCCCCTGTGGTATAACGTGCTCATGAGCACCCACACCTGTGCCCGGCTAGTTTCCTGGTCCTGGGCTGGTGGCTCAGTCATAGGGATGATGGTAACCCTGATAGTTTTTCGTCTCACCTTCTGTGGGTCTAATGTGATCCATCACTTTGGCTGCCATGTGCTTTCCCTCCTAAAGCTGGCCTGTGGGAAGGAGACATCTTCTGTCACCTTGGGTGTGATCCTGGTGTGTGTCACAGTTCTAATGGGATGTTTATTCCTCATCATCCTCTCCTATGTCTTCATTGTGGC